TATTTCTTGCCATTCCAGTCTGGCCTGCATGGTTTCTGTTGAGAAATCAGCTGACAATCGTATAGGTGCTTCTTTATAGGTAACTACCTGCTTTGCTCTTGCTGCTTTTAATATTCTCTCTTTGTCTTTTCTTCTTGGGATTTTAATTATGATGTGTCTTGGTGTGGTCCTCTTTGGATTCCTTTTGTTTGGAGTTCTGTGCACTTCCTGGACTTATAAGTCTAATTCTTTCACCAGGTGGGGAAAGTTTTCTGTCACTATTTCTTTCAGTATGTTTTCGATATCTTGCTCTCTCTCATCTTCTGGGACCCCCATAATTCTGATGTTGGTTCCCTTGAAGTTGTCCCAAAGGTTTCTTACATTTTCTTCAATTTTCTGGATTCTCTTGCCTTCTAGCTTCTGTGGAGGAGTGTCTACTGGCTCTTTATGTTCCAAATCTTTGATTTGATTCTTGCAATCTTCCATTCTGTTTTTAGGACTCTGTATAATATTTTTTATTTCAGACAATGTATTCTTTATTTCTTGTTGATCCCTTATCATTTCTTGTTGACTCCTTATTAATTCTAGTTGATCCCTTTTCATATCCTCATAGGTCTTATAGACCTTTTCTAGGAAATTCTTGAAAAACCTTATAAGCACAGATTTGAACTCTATGTCCAGTCGCTTTTTGTCCTCCATTTCTTTCCTTTGTGATCTATTTCATTGTCGCATTTTGCAGCTACAGATGGGGCGGGGTTTCAGGGTGGAACCTACAGCCTTGGCTTCTGTCAGCCCCGGCTCCTGCGTCTCAGGGTCCTTCAGTACTCACTGCAAGCGCCTCTGAGAGAAAGGTGCCTTCGATTTTCGCCTGCTACCAAACAATCTAAGCTTTCCCCCAATGAGCCCGGTATTGGGGTTCAGTTCAGTTGGAAGGGGAGTTGGAGGTGGCGTTCAGAGTAGTCTGGAGCCCCAATCTCCTTCCCACCAGGGCAATTCCGCGGCACAGCCAACCGTCCCTTCTCTGCGTGCAATGTGCGCGTTGCCGGGACCTCCTTTCACCGCTCCCCCGGGGTTCCGCCTTGCAGCTCAGCTCCCTCTGGATGAGCCTGGGTCCTCGGGGTCTGGCCTAGAACTGGGGTTCAGAGCAGTCGAAACTGGGGCCCAGCACAGTCGGAGCTTTTATCTCCTTCCCGCTAGGGAACACCAGCCAGGCACTCAGCCTCCCTCCTCTCCGGCTCCGTCCTCTCCGCGCTCCGCGTGTCTCTGTACCTTAGGCTTTTACAGCTCCTCCGCTCTTCCTTCTAGTTTTCTCCTTGCTTCTCGTTGTAGAATTTCCAGTCAGTCGACTTTCCTATAGTTCTGGGTAATGTTCATTTTATATTTTAGTTGTATTTTATTGAAACTGTTGCATGCGGCTGCGGCTAGGTGCCTACCCGAGCAGCCATCTTGGATTCTCCCAGAAGATTCTTAATGTTTATGAACAACACCAGTGGTCCCCAGGAGCTCTTTCTTTATCTAAGATGCAGACTGAAGGGACAGAGTGTGACCAGGTGTGTTGAAACCTAAGATCAGACAGACTGTCCCTGGAAGGAGCTGCACCCCTTAGCCTGTGGCAGAACGGAACCAAAGCCTGAATGCCATGGCTCCCCCTAGAGTTGGCAGGCATCCTTCTCGGTCTTTTTGTAAGAAATTATGCCAGTGGCCCCCTTTTAGTCTGTTGGACCAGTTCTCCCACACAGAATGAGTCTGGAGAGAATCAATTTGACAGAGTGCTGTGTCACCAAGTGACTTGGGGCAGACCTTGAGCAAACTCATGTCATGAGAGAACTATCAGGGCTCCTGGAGAGGTTAGAGCTCTGGGTTCTCGGGGAAGTGGATGCAGGAGTGACCCCTGTGCCTGCTGAGAAGAGGGAGGATGCAGGGTCGGTCCCCCACATCGCCCTCGTTTCTCTTTCACACTCCAGGATGCCAACGGTTTGGTGGACTTCCGAGATGTGGCCCTTGCGTTGGCAGCTCTGGATAGGGGCACAGGCCTAGAGGAACTGACTCGCCTGGCCTTTGAGGTACCGGGGGGAGTAAAGGGGGCAGGGATGGGCATGGCAGCTGTGCTCCCCCACCCAGAAGCCTGTGTGGTATCCTATTACCAGTAGCTTCTAGATAGCTGGTGCTTGGTATCCAGCCCTGTGCCACACTGTGAACTGCAGAGCTCCGGTGTCTGTACGTTGAGGCTTAGCTGGGAACAGGAGGAGAGGACAGCAGCTGTGAGGTTAAATTCTCCTGCAGAAAGGACCCAGGGGGCAGGGAGGGCCTGTGTTTTGCATTCCTGGAAGAGGAGGAGCCTGTCCGGAGAGTACGGGGGTGATGGCATGAGGAGAGGGCTTGACCTGTCTCCCCTTCTCTACCAGCTGTTTGCCGAGGAGCGAGCAGAGGGGCCCGGTCGCCTGCTGTGCCGAGACGGCTTCAGCACCATCCTGCGCCTGCTGCTGGGGTCACCCCGCCCTGCTGCCGAGACTTTGCATGCCGAGCTGTGCCAGGCGGGACCCCACCACGGCCTCTCCCTCTGTGAGTCACACTCTTCTCAGCCCACGTGGACATTCGGGGCACCTTCAGCGCTGGGCTGGGAGGGAACAAGGGCACCTTCAGCACTGGGCTGGGAGGGAACAAGGGCACCTTCAGCTCTGGGCCGGGAGGGAACAAGAGCTGGTTGGTGGCTAGTGCCAGGGAGCAGAACATCTGAGAGGGGAGAATGGGAGGGATTGGCCAGAAGGCTGATTTGAGGAACGAAGCAGAGGTGAGAGTGACAAAACATACTGAGAAAAGGGCAGGGCACCCACTTGCTCCCCTTCTTAGATAATTTTCCTTTTCGCATCTCCCAATTGTCTGTCCAGGTCAGTTCCAGGACTTCTCCCTCCGTGACCCACTCCACGGGAAGCTCTTCAGCACCTACCTGCGCCCTTCCCAGACACCAGTCGCCTCCTCCCCAGGCAGCTGCGCCGCTCTGGCCAATGGGACTGTGCACTCACCCAAGCAGAAGGGCGACTGAGCCCCTCCACCTCCCCAGCTTGCAATCTGGCCCACAGACTCAAGACGGCGCCAGGGGCCGACCCTGGGCCTCAAGCCCTCTCTGCTCCTGCTTGATTTTTTGTTATTGTTTGGTTTGTTTGTTTGTTTTAAGTTGATTTTCATTTTTTTGTTTGTTTGGGGTTTTTTGTAAGAAACTATTTTATATATAAATATAAATATATATCTATATCTATTTAAAAAATATGAAGCTCGGTCACATTGATGGTATCATTAGCTGGGAAGGAAAGGGATTATTAGTTGCCAGCTGGCCATTGGGTAATCCCGAAGGTTCCCCAGGTTAGTCCTATGGGCCAGAGCTGGGTGAATCCTCACTTGCAATTGAACATGGTGCTCTTCTGCACAGAAATCTTGCAATTCTCGTGTCCTTTCCTCCTGTTGTCAATGCCCTGTGTATGCACATTTTAACAGGCTTACTCATGAACCTCTTTTCAGCCTATTCCCTCTTGTTCTGTCCTCATTAGAGATTAAAAAATAGCTAACTTCCATTCCATATTTAATAATCCTACTGAGATTGATGCCTCCTCTCTGTAGCTCAGACCAACCACACAAGAGGGTTTTTCTGCCATGGGATTGAATTGAGGACACTTCAGTCCCTTCTGTCCAGCCTCTTTTAAAGGAAGAAGAAAATAAGGCCCTCCTATAGAGGTGCATTCTAGACACAGTTGTGGGAAAATTATATTTTAAAACTTAAATACCTATCCCAGGTTTTTTATTTTTATTTTTTTAAATATATTTTATTCATTTTTTACAGAGAGGAAGAGAGAGGGATAGAAAGTTACAAACATCGATGAGAGAGAAGCATCGATCAGCTGCCTCTTGTACACCGCCTACTGGTGATCTGCTGGCAACCAAGGTACATGCCCTTGACCGGAATCGTACCTGGGTCCTTTCAGTCTGCAGGCAAACGCTCTATCCATTGAACCAAATCGGTTTCAGCTACCCCAGGTTTTTTAAAGGACATCTTTCATATATATGTGTGTGTTTATTGATGTTAGGGAAAGAGAATCATCAATTAGCTGCCTCCTGCACGCCCCCTACTGGTGATTCAGCCCATAACCCAGGCATGTGCCCTGACCAGGAATTGAACCATGACCTGGTTCATGGGTAGATGTTCAACCACTGAGCCATACCAATGGCATCTTTCCATATAGACTTCTGTGGGGGGTTTTTTGTAATCCCTCTTTTGTTTTGATCCTTACCTTTATCTGAGGATATTTTTTCCATTGATTTTTTTAGAGAGTAAAGAAGAGGAGAGAGAAACATCTATGTGTGACACATCTATTGATTGCCTCCCATGTGCACCCTGACTACTGGACTGAGGATGGAACCTGCAGCCCAGGTACATGCCCTTGACTAGGAATTGGACACGAAACCCTTCAGTGTGTGAGCCGACATTCTAACCACTGAGCATATCAACCAGGGCTCCGTGTAGACTTTTAAAGGGAAACAACGACAGGCTGCCCAGAGAAAACCTCCACAAACACCCACATCCGGGCCTATGATGGGGAGGGATGAAGTCACAGGGACTTCTCAGTGCTGGGGCTTATCAGAGAGCCTGCGTAAGGCTAACGGCAGGAAAGGTGTCAATCTGTAGAGTCAAAGGCCCTCCCACCTTTCTTTACAGCATCTTATCCCGTCTAGGAGCCAAGAAGTGAATACAAATGAGCACACGGAGAGTATTTTATAACAAAAAAAAGGTCTTTATTCATTTTGTTCCCATACAACTCCTTCGAAGGTACTCCGCCCTCACCTCCCACCAGGACACCTCCTCCAACCTGGCTGGTGTGACCTCCCTCCCCACACTAACCACTTTTTCAGAAAAACTAAACAAAGGACTGAGAACAAGTCTCTGGTTTGTGTGCAACTGGGGTGAAATCTATTCAAGGGGCCCCTGGCTCCAGGGACTGGCAGGAGGGATAGGAAGGTCCTGCTGCTCCCTACTGGCACCGGCGACGTTTCTTCCTTCTGCCTGTGCCCAGGCTGTCACGCCTTCTCTTACGGGGCTGCGAGGGTGTCTCCCCAGAGACAGCAAGTTCAGGCCCTCCCAGGTAGGGCCTCTTTCCGGCAGGTATTGGCCCTGCAACTAGAGCTCGCTTCCTAGACTTAGCAACAGGATATGGAGGCTGGCCAGGGCCTCTTCCCTCAGCAGAGAGGGAGCGGGATGCTCTCTGGAGCCCCTGACCTCCCGTGGAGGACAGGCCTGGAGCAGGGTGAGGACCAAGAGGAGGCCGCCTTGGCGACAGGCTTAGTTTAGAGGCCAAGAGGTAGGCAAAGTCAGAGAGTTCCTCGTCTTCCTCATCATCATCCTCCTCTTCCTCCTCCTCCTGTCCTTTGGCTCCACCTGCTGTGCTGTGTGCTCCTCTAACAGGAGAGGCTTCCTTCAGAACTGAGGCATCCCTAATTCCCCATCGAGGGGAAGTTCTTGCAAGGCCCCGGGAAGATGTGAGCTTGGGAATCCCATGTGCATAAGACTCTTGATTCCCTAGTAAGGGAGCAAGGTCTTTTGAATTCAGTAAGTCAGTGTCCTCCCTGCCCTCTCCTTGGGGGGGGTGATAACTGAAATGTAGTGGGCAGGTATCCTCACTGACCCCTAACTGGAGGCCACAGCCATCTCCAACATCTAGTATATGGCTGTCAACGGTGGTTTCCAGCAGAGAAATGGAACTGCCTCTGTTCCCTGCCTCTTGGCTGGCCTCAGGGAAGGTGGAGGCATCCTGGGTCCCCAGGATAATGACATTGCCTTGACAAGCAGGCAGGAGGGTTTCTTTGGAAACCAGTGTGGAGGCATCAATACTGCCTTCCAGCAAAGGGGAGCAAGCTTGAGCCCACAGATCGCTGAGATCCTGTAGGATCTCAGGACTCTGTTCCCTGTTTCCTTTAGGCCTCAAGGCTAGGCTATAGTTCCTCTTGTCTAGGGCAGCTGTGGCACCTGTGCCTCCACAGGGAATTGGACTGCTCCCCAGACCCCCAGGTGCTGTGGTTTCTCTTAGACCCAGTGCCTGGCAGCCTCCCTGGTGCTCAGGCACATATTCCCCGTCATCCTGGAAGGTCTCTGTGACCTCGATTTGTAAGGGCAACTCTAAGCCTACTTCATCCATCTCACTGCTGAGCCAAAGTCCTGGACTGAAAGAGGCCCCGTCCTCATCCTTGTCCTCAGCTGCTCTAGGGGAAGGGCTCTGGTCAAAACTCTGAAGCACAGGACTTATGTCACCTCCCCACATGACTCCGGAGCAGCCTTCCTGGGGCTCTGCTAGCAGCTCCTGCCCTTGATGCATCACTCCAACACCCCCTGCCTGCTGTCCTATCAGCAGCCCCGGTTCCTGCAGAGGAACCAGCTCTGGCCCTGCGAGCACAGCCTCCAAACTGGGAACTATCTCAAGCTGGGGATCTTCCTGCCAGCAAAGGGATAGAGCCTCGGAAGTCCCATCAGCCACCAGGGAGTGCCCCGGAGACCCAGCACCTCCCAGGTGGTCACCTGGCTGTGGGGATATTTGGTTTGGAACCTTTCCAGGTCCTCTTCTCTCTGCACCTAAGGACCCTCGAGTTCCCTGTGGAGATGCAAGTTCTATGTGCAGGTCCCAGCTGCTGGGAGGTGTCAGCGTGTTCCCATCCCTGCACATGCCCCTTGTGCCATCGAGGGCCCGTTCCTGCCCACTATGCACCTCTCTTGCTCGCTTTCCTGGAGAAGCAGATTTCCCAAGGCACACTGTGCCCCCAGCCACCTGATGCCCAGGGGAAGGCCGAAGCCGTCCACCCCCATCTTCATCCTCATCGGAAACAGAAGCACTTGAGTCCAATTGAGCTCCAGTGCAACTTGGAGCTGCCTCTGCATCCTCTTCCTCCTCCAGGGCCAGGAGTCGCTTCTGAACCAGCTGGAAGGAGAATGGACACATAGCATGCTACACGTGGCTGTGGGAGGGGTGGCTGTGTGGATGGGCAGGGCAGAGGATGCAAGCAAGTGGCTTATGCGACAGTATTAAAGACAGATACCATAGCTCTTAGGCCTTAGTCCCAACTTTGAGCCCTTACACTTCCCTTTTCCTGCATGTCCACAGTCCCTTACGTACTGTTCACTACCCGTAGCCCTCTCTGGAAGCTGTTCGCCTCCAGAAGTCATACCATCCGAGACAGTGTAGGTTTAGCTAACAACACACAAGCTTCCTGTTCTGATACCCCCGAACCCCTCAGGTTTACCTGGGCAAGACTGAGTCCTTCTTCTTGCTCCAGCTCCTCAATTAAAGCCAAAGGGTCTTTCTGTTGTTCTGGGGACAGTAAATCTGCCAGAAACTGAGGGTGAATGACGGCCTCCACCTGGGCAGCAGAAGGAAAAGTGATATGAGTCTGACAGGAGGTAACTTGTGAGCCAAGAGGCTCTAGAGTAGCCATAGTGCCCTTCCCCCCCCCCCCCCAGGTTGTTATCAGCCATGACCACCAACCACTTGCTATACACATTCACACGCGTGCATACACGCATATGCATTGCTCAGTACAGAATGGAGGAGCCTGGAGCAGAACCCTGGAGTTCCCACCCCAGGATCTGCTAGGAAGAAGATATCCAGGCCGGGCCCCACCTTAGAGACAAAGACCTCCTGAGAACACAGCTCATCGATGTAGCTCAGGAGATCTGGGTCTGGATACATCCCGTCCTCCTCCTGCCGCTGCTCATCTTCTTCCAGTCTTCCGTCAGACTCTCCCGGGGCCAGGTGGCTCCCCACCAGCCCTTCCATGATGTCGGCATACTCTTTCACAGCTTCTGGGGGGATTTCCTTGGGAGCCTCAGACACTGGGGGTCTCTGGGTTTTGCGCTGCCGTCGGCGGGGGGTTCGCGCCTTGGAAGCTGCCTTCTTGGGAATGTACACTAAGGGGAGAGATGCAAAGGGGGGATGGACAGTGGCACAGAGACTATAGCTTCTGCCTCCCAAACCCAGGGGAGAGCACAATGGCTCCAGGCTGGATAGGGCCACCCCAAAAAGTACCAGCCAGGGGAAAAGATCGAGGAGCTGCAAGGTCTGAGAGAGAGCCACTGTATGAAGAATCTTGGAACCCCTGAAATTCCAAGAAGTCCCTACTCCAGGCCCCATGTCTTAGGCAGTGAGGTATTATGGGCTGCACTCACAGCCTCGGTGAGAGAGTAGTTGGTTTACTTGGCCAAGATCAATACCTAGACTGGGACCAAGGGAACCTGAGAACCCAGTCTCCTATATTTGCCTTGTTGGGAACATCAAATGCCACCCCCTGGAGGAAAAGAGGCAGAAGTAAGGGTAATGCCTTCCCCTACCCACGCTTGCTTTCTGTATGCCTTTCTTTGAGCCCCTGGTGTAAGGCTTCTGTTAGAACTGGGTAGCCTTACCTGGCTGCTGGCAAACCTCAGGGGCCCGAAGCTGTGGAGGATCGACTTTCAGAGGGGCTGCAGGAGGCAAACCCTGGGGCCCATTCACCAGCTGTGTGTTCTTAGTCTGCATCTCCTCCTCAGCCTCAAACTCCATGAACCTGCAGAGGGGAAAGTGAAGTGCTAAGGCCAGACCCATCAGGAACCCAGACACCAGGAGGCAGCTGTTCGCAGATGACCAAGTATCAGCTCTGAGGAAACCTCACAAGATCACCACATAGTTCCTTCACCTACAGTGGTCACCTAGGTAGCTCGTGAAGGTGAACAATGTAGAGCTTATAAGCATCTCCAGGACAGAACCATGCCTTTAACTTCTTTCTCATGCCTTCTCTCACACAGCACCACCATGGGTAGAGAGCAGCAATGAATACAGGCGCGTTGCATTCAATCATGCCTGTGCCATAGCCTGGTGGATCCCACAACCAGGCCCCTTTCTCAAGGCTTCCCCTTTCCCTGCCTACAACCATAAAAAATAGCTGAAACCCTGCAGGGCCTGGGGTTGCCATTCAAGGCAGTTCCCACCAGGAGACAGTGCTGAGATCCAGGAGTCCTAAGGCTGGGACTGGGAAGGGTAAATATAGGAGGTATGGGTTCAAAAGATTTGGGGGAGGAAGTATAGAGGAAAGGGATCATTTTCCTCAGAATTATTGAACTAATGATTAAATCATGAATAAATGGGGGAAGGTAGTATAAGACAGGAGACCACTCTTGGCATCCAGGACCCCGGCTGCCCCAGACCAGCTTCTTCAAGAGCCAGCACCTCCCTGTGATGAGAGGGGGAACCAATTTCTGTACCACTATTTCCAAAGGAGGGGTGGTCCTAAGATCGGCATCCATAAGCACTATGCTACCTGGCCAGTGAGATAGTAAGGAATCTGTCTAATTGTGCTTACCTGCTCATTGCCTGATCTCTGCAACATGGAATTTTTGCACTGACTGAGCTCTAATCCCATCCTCACAGCTTCATTACCAAGGCTCTTATACAACTCAAGGTCTGGCAAAGGGAGAGCCTCCAAGAGGAGACTGGATAAAGGTGGTGGAAGAAGCAACAAGGATCCAGGAGATCATATCCTAGTCCTAGCATCCCTTTTAATAATCCTCCCCCACACCCAGACTCCAGCCTCTCTTACCTGACCCTGCCCTTCCTGCCACACGGCCCCCCATTAAGAGAAAGAGGGTTCCTCAGACTCACTTTTCTGCCATCTCATAAAAGATCATCCGGTCAAAGTTGCTGGTGCGATCCCACTCCTGCACGGCCCTTGGCAGTCCCTCTTCCAGGGTCATGGTGGGCTTCAGCCGGGCCAGGGAACGAAGCACTGGGCTAAAAGCCCCTTGGAGTCAGTCACAGTTACAAGTGTTCCCGCCCCATCCACCTGTCCTGATACCAACACACACCCAGCCCCTCATCCGATCTAGTGTGCCCCTCACTCCCCGACACGTCCCACTTGATTGGGCTTCCAAAACCTCCTCCCCACCTACTCCCAACCATTCATTGGCCATCCTGGCCTTTCTTTCCATTGACACTTACAAATCTCACACAAAATCAAACATGATTCTTCTCCCCATCTTTTGAAATCAACCACCCTTAATTCTCACAGTGCTTTCCTTCACTAAACTTTCCTTAACTCAAGTTATTAAACGAATAGGTTTCATTGTAAAGTAGGCTTAACCCTGCCCAAAAGGCTCTTGCATAAAATAAAATAAAATAAAATAAAATAAAAAAATAAAATAAAAGGCACTCACTAACTCAAATGAATCTAAGTGAAGGTGATGTGGTGTTTCATTTGTTAGTTTTTGCTAGTGTGTTTTTGCCTCCAGGATACCCCTCATAGACCGTCAAATATCAATACTCTTCAAACTGTCTGCGATTCATTTTTGCTTCCCTGAAACAAGTCCTCAAGCATTACTGTGCCTAGGACCCCCTGGTGTAGCTTGTTATAAATATGGATTCCAGCACCCAGGAGTCCAGAACTGAGGGCATGTCACCAGCTTCCCCAGTGACCGTTGCAGAGGGTCTAGGCTGCACTTTGGGGGTGACCCTGCCTAGAGGCCTGCAGTATGGACAGCAGGCTTAGTCCAGGGCCAGAAGCAGTACTGCCAGACTCCAAGAGAAACTCAGAATTGTGTGAGGAAAGCAGGGAGTAGGTTAAGATGATCTAAACTTAATTATCTGGGAGAGCCTCTTGATTTAATCACTCCAGAGTCAAAGTGGAAAGGGAGATTCCTTTAAGAGTCAGCCATGGGAGGAACAACATGTACGTTTTTAAACTCCAGTAAAAAAAAATAAAAAATAAAATCCAGTAAAATGCAGCATGTGTTACCAAATGGTTTACACAAAATACCGTGCAGTGGAGAGAGGCAGCAGGTCTAAATTTCCCAGATGGCCAGTGATGCTGTTTTATAAACCCAAGAGACAGCCCATGATGCTGGGCTCTTTGGCTAAGCATCCGCTCATACTCTTAAGCAAAAGAGTTTGACCTTTTGTGAGTTCTTTTTTTCTTCTAGATTGCCTTTTTATAATAACAGCAGCAGCTACCATTTAGTGAAGCATTCTCTGTGCCCAGCACTCTGCTAAGCACTTCACATGCATTTACTCATTTCACTGCTCAGCAACCCTCTGAGGTAGTAGGTATAATTACCCCCTTTCTAAGTGAGAAAAATGAAGGCAAAGATATGAAGTGTTGAGCCCAGGACTGCAAATCTAGAGACCAGTGGAACTTGGACCCTCAACCACTAAGCAAGCTCTACCACCTTCCCATTTCAATTTGAATTCCCCTAAATAAAATAGAGGTGGTGTGGGAGGACACTCAGAAGGGGGTGGTGTGGGAGGACACTCAGAAGGGTCTTTCCTGGCCCCACATTGTCCTCCCCTCCCATAGGAATGGTCAGGGCACTCCTCATCCTGGCAGTTTGGATGGCTCAACTCAGTGTCTAAAGGTATTAAAATAGAACCAGAGGACCCTGGCACTTGGTGTCAGAGACCTACGTTCCCAATCATCTCTCCACACTTTATGACAGGAAACCTCTCTGAGCTTCAGTCTCCTCATCCCTAAGGGAGGATTACCATAAAAACACTTGCCTGAACTCGGCGTTGTGAGCATCACTGGAGAGAAGACACCGGAAGGCTGCTATATGACTGTTATCATAATCATCGTGATTTTTGTACTCTTCTTAGCATCTGTATCGCCCTCGTGACCTGCCTCAAGTATTCCTCCACAGCCTACCCTCTTTTGTCCATCCCACAGCCCTCCTTGGTTAAAAGCTCTAGATAAATTTATCCCAGGTCTCCCCACTTACATAAGAAAGCACGAAAGAGCTTCTGCATCAGGACTCTGGGATAAGTGCATCCGGGCCAAGGCTTTGTAGCGCTGCCAGCGCCGGAAGTTCTCATAAACACCCTTGGAGGTATAGGAGAGCTCAGCCAGGGATGGCTTGGTTTGGGCCACTGCCACACCTCCTTCTCCCGTTGCCCCATGTGGCCCTGGCCAAGCCTTTTCGGGGGACACAATGGGAGCCAGTTGGGCGGCTGGTGCTGCGACCTGAGCAGGAAGGCCTGGGAGGCCCTCCTGGCTCACCCCCACAGCCTCGCTGGGCAGAAGGGTCTTCACGTTGGAGGCTATCACAAATTGAGGTGGAGGGCCTTCGGAGCCCCCACAGGGAGCACCCGAGGCAATCCAATTGTGGGCAGTCTGAGTTAGGATAAAGTTCTGAGCTTGAGAGGGCTCAGCTGCCCCCCCTTCTGTCTTGACTTTGACAATGACCTTGCCAGCTTCACCCCCACTGTTGCCAGGGACCCCATCCCCTGTCACCAACAATGGGTTGGGGAAAGCAGAGAGCACCAGAGGGTTGCCGGGAGAGAAAGCTGAAGGCACGGAGGGCTGTGGCGGCCGCTCCCAGGGTGGTTGGTCGGGTGGGCCAGGAGCAGATGGGGGGATGGGAAGTGCCGTGAAAGGAGACAGGGCAGTGCCAGGATTCATGGTCATGTCTGGTCCAGGCAATGGAGATGCTGTTGAGACAAAGAAAAGCAGGGAATGGAACAGGAGAAAAGCAGGCCATAAAGTAGGTTATCAGAGTTCTACTTGAGTCTTTGAAGAACCAGAGCTCTGATTCTCAGCAGGAGAGGAAGGGTAAATGGAGGAGAAATCTGTGTAATTTGCAAACGTCCCCCAAGTAACTTTGCTGTCTCTTACTCCCCACTGAAAATTATTAGACTAGACAAGTTGCAACGGTCCTTGGCCCCAACAGCTCATGCTCCAAAATTCTAGATCAAGCTCACATCCCACCCAGCATACAGGAACATCTCTTAGGCCAACATATTCCAAAGCCATTCAAACCACCTGAACGCTGCTTTCAGCTGCTCTGTGGTCCTGGCCACCCCTCACAGAAACACTGTCCCAGGGGAAGGGGTGCGGATGAAATGTTTGCTTCTCAGAAATTTTGTTATATAATCGCAGGAATGACTAGCGATAAGGGCCAGGAAATGGGGTGGCAGGGGGGTGGGGGGAGGGAGAGATTTTTCCAGAGCGTTGAGTAGTGCTGCACGTGTTAACATTTGGCAATGCAGACTCTCTGTGGTTCTGCTTGGAGCTGCTGTCAGAAATTTAGGATCCACCAAGAACAAGGGACTGACACTGAAGTCTGAAAGAGTACCTGCTAAGAAGGAGTCATGTGGGCTCTAAGAGACCAAGGATAAATACATGAAAACGTTACTTAATGAATCAGGACATGTGTCTCCTAGGACTTTTTATAATAATAATAGGTCATCTGCCTAATTCCATGCCACTCTCCTCCCCTATTATAAAGAATATTCACTGGCAAATGAACAACATTCAGCATCTACTTCTTGACACTAGACCATAAAGGAGACAGGGAATGTGAGCAAACCCGTCATCTCAACCACAGAGCAGAGGGCCAGGGGTTTAGACACAATGAAACGGGTCTGAAGGCCTGAGTTCCACAAAAAGCAGAAAAATTAGAGCTTCTCAGGGAAGCCCCAGTTCTCGTCCTGGCCCTGGGGGAATCAAAGAAAACCGCTTCCTGAACTGAGAGAGAAGCATCTCCGGGGCTGGAAGGAGCTATGAGGTGAGCAGGGGTTATAGTACCTTCCAGTCTAGCTTTCAGGAGGGCATTTCTCTGTTGACTTGGCAACAGATAACTCCACCGAACAGCTTTTTAGGGGGAGGCCTCCATCCTACTCCATCCCCCCCCCCCAACACATTGAGAATGACCCCAGCTTCCAAAACCGGTTTGGCTCAGTGGATAGAGTGTCGGTCTGCGGATCGAAAGGTCCCAGGTTCGATTCTGGTCAAGGGCATGTACCTCGGTTGCCGGCACATCCCCAATAGTGGGTGTGCAGGAGGCAGCTGGTCGACGTTTCTCTCTCATCTATGTTTCTAGCTCTCTATCCCACTTCCCTTCCTCTCTGTAAAAAAAAAAAAAAAAATCAAAATATATTAAAAAAAAAAAAAAAAAAAAAGAAAGAAAGAAAGAAAAAGAAAGAAAAAGAATGACCCCAGCTCAATTCTCTCATGGCAAAATTCTAGATCAAGCTCCAATTACCTAAGGAAGATACAGGAACTTGGGTCTTCCCCCTGAACCATCTCTGTGCCACACATACACACATACCCCTTGTCACCAACGCTTGTAGAAGGGGTCCCTCTTTCAGAGTAGCAAGTTGCTAGGTGCCATCCCTTCTCTAGACATCAGCACTCTCCTCCGAGCTGCTTTGACCTTCCTCCCAAAAGGGCCTCTTCCTTCCCCAACCCCCTGCCTTAATGGCACGGTCTACTTCCCTACCTTCCCCAAGTGCGATGCCTTTTGCGGGGTCTAGTCCTTTCACATACCCCTTGGTCAATCCAAGTGCTCATCCCCAAGTGAAGTGTCAAATTTGAATCTCCAAGGAAACGCTCCCCTGCCCCCAACACGCACACCTGCAGACTTACCTCCATCTGAAGTCATCCTCTCAGGTTTGGGCACTACCCCTGGCTGTCTAGAAGAAGCCTCCAGAATGAGAAAGTCAGCTCCAGGCCCCAGAGAGTCACCTAGCTCCAGTAGATACACAGGGATCCAAGGAGGGAAGGGTAAAGATGGAATCAAAACAGAACTAGAATCTAGGATTCAAGGCATTCTATAGGGGAGGGCATGGGGGGGGGAGGGGCGTGCGGGAGAGAGGGAGGGGCGTGCGGGGGGAGGGGGAGGAGCGTTTGGGGGAGGGCGAGGGAGATATTCCACAAGGGGCTCTGGTAAATTGGCAGTGACTAGGAATTCCCTCCCAACCAGAGTTTGGCAACACAATTGTTGTGTGCCACTTTAGAGCAAATTGTGACTTTTTCTCAGATCCCCAACATTATATTTTACATCTGCATTCCCTATTCAATTGCTCATCAATATGTTTAGCTTTGTGCCCTTCAATCCCACCCAGTTCTGTAACTGACTTCCTAATAATAGTAGGTCGTGGCAGGCCCTTGATTTAATTCAGTGTTCGCTATATTTTCTGAACCGACTCAGAATACATTTCATAGGGAATGGAATATCTGAAATTAGGATTGTCTGGAAAGATCCAGATGTTTGGCTGCTGTGTGCATATCATTTCCTTGGGAAGCTGTCATGTAGTTCCCAAACAATCCACTACCATCAGCTTCATAGTCCACAGAAGGCTCAACCTTAACCCTTGGCAGAAAAGCAACACACTATAAAAAAACAACTGGCATTCAGCCTAAAATATCAAGACCAAAAAGTTCTTTTGTCTGTTAAATCGTTTTTTTAAGTATTCTGTTAAGTAATTTAAAAATATATATACATATGCTTTTATTGATTTCAGAGAGAAAGTGGCGCGCGCACGAGAGAGAGAGAGAGAGAGAGAGAGAGAGAGAGAGAGAGAGAGAGAGAAGAGAGAGAGAGAGAGAGAGAGAGAGAGAGAGAGAGATCAATGATGAGAGACAATCATTGATTGGCTGTCCCTTCACCCTTCCCTTCCTTCCACCACCACTGGGGAGGAGCCAGCGCAACCCGGGCATGTGCCCTGACGAATCGAATTGGGACCTCCATAGGTGGACGCTCAACCAGAGGCACGCTGGCTGGCCTGTTAAATAATTTTTAAAATGTTTTTCTTATTGAAATATTTTTGTTGACACTATTGCAGATGCCCCCATTTCTCCCCTCCCCCCTTTGCCCACCTTCACCCGGTTCCCGCCCTCCTGCCCCTACCTCGCTCTTCCCGCCCCTCCTGCCCCGCCTTGGTCCACACTATTTAGTGTCTGTGTTCATGGGCTGTGCACATATGTGTATAGGGTTTTGTATGTGTGTAGGGTTTTGTTTTTTTCATTATTGCTAACAGTATTCTAGATGTTCCCTATTTTCAGGCCTTTTTCTCCTGCACCTAGCCCCTGCCCCACTCCAGGCCTTCACCATGCCATTGGTTCTAAAGTAAAAGTATGCAAAACAGCAATCTCCCTCCCATCCCCCTCTCCTGGAACCCAAGTACTTTGTCTTAAAGGAAACCAATATTATGTTTATTGTGAATCCTTGTAGAGATATTTTATGCACTACAAGTAAATGTGTCTGTATCATTACATTTATATTCTTTTTTTAAAAAAACATGACAACGCAAGTCAGATATTTTAATGTAAAGCTTTTTAGGAACGCACATGTCAGGTGTTGAATTAAATTGATCATCGTTGAAAGAATATTTTAGAAAAGAAAAAAAGCTAAAACATTTCCAAACACTTCTCAATATCATAAGGAACTTGAACAATTCGAAATTCACGTCCCGGACCAAATACTTTGGAAACACTAACTTCAAACAGAAATTCATTATCCTGTGGTGGTATCACCCTTTCACACATGACTATATTCCTTTTTTAAAAAAAACGTTCAGGTTTTTCTCTTTATAAAAGTAATATTTATTCCAATGTTCTTGCGATTTTAAATAATACTGCAACGATCATTTTTGTAATGTTATCTGAGTTTCCAATTTTCATTTCTTTAAACTAGAGCTCTATAAGAGAATTTCTACGTTCTTTAAAGTATTCAAAATACCCCTGGGAAGTATATCTTATTATGTTATTATTAGTTACTCACCACTATAAGAAAGAGCGCTGAATTCGTAGTAGAGACCTGAGTTTGAATCTTGGTTCAACCACTAAAACGTATTTCACCAGTTTCATAAAAGAACTGCACGCTCTCTTTGCGGTACATTGAATACCCATCATGCACTTTTACCGCCAGTACTTTAAGATAGGGCTGGGGAACCGGCTGTAAAAGAGGGGAGGAAAGAAATCTTTCTTTCTTCTCTAAGGTAAAGGGGCTCTAAATCCTGGAGCCATTTATTTTTCCAGTCACTAGAAACCCAATGCCCATGAAATGGTTGCGCATCTTGTGATAAAGACAGGATTCTATTCACTGATATTCATCCCATATTCATCCCTTTCCCCCTGTAACGCCTCGCAATGTCTGGCACACAATGGGCACATTTCACGTGTCTTAAAAAGCCTACAAGGTTGCAACTGAGCACCAATGGCTGCAAGGTTGCAACTTGGTTGCAACTGGGCCACGTCCCGCACCAGCGCGCCGCCTTCTGCCCAGCTGGAGAGAGGCGCGCAATTGACTACATTTCCCGGCATGCCTTGAGAGCTATTTCCGGCTACACCGGAAGAAAGCTGACAACCACGTGAAGCTCTCTGTAGAGAATCGCAGACGGCGTTGGAGCCTCCTGCTTCAGCGAGATCATGTTTCTCCAGTATTACCTCAATGAACAGGGGGAACGGGTCTATACCCTGAAGGTGAGAAGAGGGAACAGATACGTGGGCTTGGCGAGAATGGGGGGGGGGGGGGAGGAGGGAGGAGAGGAGATGCTAAGACTCGCCAGAGCCTGGCGTGGTGGAAGCTGGAGTGTTGACTGCTGGTTCTGACCGCCGAGCGTCCTGTCTTCCTGTTTTTACTCTTTTTCGCGGGTCCCTTTCCCTATCCCAACCCTCCAGGTCTCTTTTGATGCCGGTGATTGAGTTTTCTCATCCCTCCTGTACTGAGATGATGTCCTCTCTTTTCTTCCTCGATTAGAAGTTTGATCCTCTGGGACAACAGACCTGCTCGGCCCATCCTGCTCGGTTCTCCCCAGACGACAAATACTCCCGACACCGAGTCACCATCAAGAAACGTTTCAAGGTGCTGATGACCCAGCAGCCGCGCCCTGTACTGTGAAGGTCCCTTGCATTTCATGTCTCTCCTGCCACCGGCGACCCCTCTGAGACTTTTGCGAAACCAAGCTTTTCCGTCTGTGAGCCTTGAAGCCTTCTTACCACCCTTGCTCTTTGGAATCGGTGTCATCATTACCTTAGAATCGAAGGCTTAGGTCTAAGGCCTGGAGCATGCTTGTGTGAAGCAATCATGGTGGCATCCTCCCTTAAAGAAAACAAGTTTGAGCCTGCTTTTCATATTTTGACTGCCACGTTATTAAAATGATTTGAAAGAGCTCTTTTTTTCCGTGTGTGGGGGAAAAAGGAATGGTTTTAAAAATAAAAACAAAAACACGAGGAAGATGAGAGGGGTACACTTTGACGAAAATCTTAAAAACTGCTGTACCTGGAGTAGTGCTGTACTGTTAGTGATAGGAGGGTGTTGGGGAAGGGAAGGTTAAGAAAGACATAAATGTTGGCCTTCACTGAACAGTACCCCTGGGGTCATGTAACTAATTTCTTGCCCCTTGAAATGCCGTTTTGACTTGAAATGGAAGAGTTGCTTGAAAGGTAATAACCATGTTGTAGAGCAGTGGTCGGCAAACTGCGGCTCGTGAGCCACATGGACACTTGAGTTATTAGCAAAGGCCAGCTTAGGAGTACTCTAAGTTAACAACAATGTACCTACCTATATAGTTTAAGTTTTAAAAATTTCGCTCTCAAAAGAAATTTTAATTGTTGTACTGTTGATATTTGGCTCTGTTGACTAATAAGTTTGCCGACCACTGTTGTAGAGGGAAGGCAGTGAATTCAAAGTCAGGAAACCAGGATTTTCCCCGATTTGTATAACTTTAAGAAAGTTACTTTACCTGTTTAGTCCCATTTTTCTCATCATTTCTAAGTTCTCTTCTAAAATGGTTTGGATCAGTAGTGGACCTTAATTTTCCTACAGTGTTGTCTAAATGTGAATATTTATGCATATTTACTGCCCCTCTGGTAATATTCTTAGGCTTTAGTTCTCTTCAAGGAATTGCCCTCTTACAGTAGACACCTAATTTTATATTCTCTCTGGCAGCTAGCTGCTATGTGCTGTGGAACTACAAAGATCTTAATTTAAAAAATGAGATACAAGAGCCGAAGCCGGTTTGGCTCAGTGGTAGAGCGTCGGTCTGCGGACTGGAAGGTCCCAGGTTCGATTCCGGGCAAGGGCATGTACCTTGGTTGCGGGCACATCCCCAGTAGGGGGTGTGCAAGAGGCAGCTGGTCGATATTTCTCTCTCATCGACGTTTCTGGCTCGCTCTCTCCCTTCCTCTCTGTGAAAAATCAATAAAATATATTTTTTAAAAAGTGAGATACAAGAGATTCAAGCAGAGATTTTGTTTTTCGAGCTACTGTTAAGGGGTTAATAACAAAAATACTGGGAGATTTTTGAGTTTTGGAGAGCTGTCATGGAGCAACCATGAAATTTTAATCCAGTTACTTTATATTAAAGGGAAGATAAGGCAAAATATTGTGTATAAGGGCATTCAAAAAATGCTAGCTTGCTTTTTTGACTCTTTCTTTGTCAAGTTAATTTCCCAGTCTTCTCATTTGTGGCTTTTGACATTAGATTTGAATGTTTGCTTAATGCTACAGGTTTAAAAATTGCTTTGTGGAGATTGTGTGCTAATTACACAATATTTTTTTATTGCATCAAAATTTTAGACTCCAGAGCAGATGTAACTTAACTCAGTGCAAATTTAACTTATTTAAAATTGGTCCTGAAATGGGTTAGATATGTTTCTCTTGAAATCTGAAGTCTGAGCATCCCAGCAGAAAAATTCAGGATAATTGTTGACTGATGAGAAAAAAAAAAAAATCTAAACTTGGATCAAAGTTAATGGAAGATATGATTTTCAAATCAATGACTTTAACTTATAGGAATAATGAAATACTCCTTTCCTGCTTAACAATTTTTTCTTAGTCTGTTCATTTACAGGGTTCTTATCTATAGATTTGACAGATTTTAAAGGGTTATCCGGTCCTATTAAGGGGATAATGATTGAAGAAATGTTTAAAATTATGCAAATGGCTAGGAAAAAGATCTATGGATTTCAGAAACTTAGTGAAATCTCTTATTTTTTTAATGTTGACTGCAATTCTATCTTTATAATTCCCCCCCACACTCATACTATATTCTGTGTAGACAACTGAAAAGACTTTGACCTGGAAATATTTTGAATTGAAGTAGAATAGAAAGGCAAACTGGTTTGAATATACCAAGGACTTTTTCCTTAAGACATCTTCTAGGTATTAACATCTGAAATGTGCTTAGAAATATAAGAGCCTTAAGAGGTTTAGTATGTTGGTATTAGGCAGTGTTTACATATATAAGTGAGTGAAAATACTCTGGTATAAAACAAAATTTGATATTGCAAAACTCCAACTCTATATAATAAAGAGGTAATATGCAAATTAACCCTCATGTCATCACAAGATGGCTACCTATGACCAGGCCGGCAGAGGGGGTTAGTGAGGAATAACCAAATGACTGAACAAGCAGGCTGCAAGGGGCAACCAGGCTGGTGTGGGGGCCGTGAGGGATCACCAGGTTGGGGTGGGGGGGACACAGTTGGGGGTGACCAGATTGGCTGGGTGAGCAGTTAGGGGCAACCAGACCAACAGAAGGGGGGCAGTTGGAGCAACCTGGCCAGCATGGGGAGCAGTAAGGGGTGACCAGACTGGTGGGACACACACACACGACGACTGTTAGGAGCAACCAGGCCAGCAGGGAGGAGGCAATTGGGGGTCACCAAGCATGGGGGGGGATGCATTCAGAGGCAACCAGGCAGGTAGGTGAGCGACAAGGAGCCAGCAGTCCAGGATTGTGAGAGGGGTGTCTGTCAGTTTAGGCCCAATCTTAAGTATCGGGCATAAACCAGCAGTCGGACATCACCAAAGGGTCCTGGATGGGAGAGAGTGCAGGCTGGGCTGAGAGGGATGCCCCATACACATACCTTGTGCACAAATTTCATGCACTGGACCTCTATTTTCTTTATAAAGGGAAAGTCTCTGAGATTTGAATAAACAGCAGACCTGCCTGAGAAAAAACTAATCCTTCAGGGAGGTCAATTTCTTGCTTCTTAAAGTTAAAATCAATAGGCACAAGCTTTATAAAAGCATCCAGCTTTGAGGAGATTTACATTTTAAATAGAAATTGTTTCTCATTTTGTTACCTGGATCTTTTTAGTTAGACTTTGGATTTTGTCATTTGATAAAGGATAATTTCCTGGCTCAGGTCTTACAGTTCTGATCTATTGCTAAGGATGATGCTTAAACATTTCCACGTCTGTAGAGCAAGGGCACAGGCAAAGACGGCCCAGATTGTTAAATTTAAATGTCTTGATCAAAGCTATAAGAAATAACTTTCAAACAAAACATTGATGAGCCAAAATATATTGGACACCTCCATTCATTAAATAAATAAGCTAAGAACACATTCTGGTAGCAGTAGTAGGGAAAACCTGGGAATGGGATCAAGAGAAAGTATCTTATTCAGGTCTAAAATAAAGATGTTTTCGCCGAAACCGGTTTGGCTCAGTGGGTAGAGCGTCGGCCTGCAGACTGAAGGGTTCCGGGTTCGATTTCGGTCAAGGGCATGTACCTTTCTTTGCGGGCACATCCCCAGTAGGAGGTGTGCAGGAGGCAGCTGGTCAATGATTCTCTCTCATCCATGTTTCTAACTCTCCCTCTCCCTCTCTGTAAAAAGTGAATAAAATATTTAAAAATAAAATAAAATAAAGATGTTTTCGTTAATGAAATGTTCAGTCTGACAAGAAAGTAAATATAGCATTTTTTTCAACTTTATTGAGATATAGTTGACAAACTACATATTTAATGTGTACAATATGAGTTAATAGCTGAATACATTGTGAAAGACAGCATAAAGTACAGGAAAAGGTGAGAATATGTAGCTGCATAAATTTGAGCATACAGTGCAGTGATTTTCAACCTTTTTAAAAATATATTTATCGATTATAGAGGACTGGAAAGGGAGAGAGATAGAAACATCAATGATGAGAGAGAATTATTGTTCGGGTGCCTCCTGCATGCCCCACACTGGAAATCAAACACGAAACCCAGGCATGTACCATGATCGGCAATCAAACTGTGACCTTCCGGTATATAGGTCGATGCTCAACCACTAAGGACACCTCCATTCATTAAATTGGGCTCAACCTTTTTACACTTGATCTTAGCCAAAAGGCCGAGAAGCGATTGGGCTCAACCTTTTTAATCTCATGGCACACATGTAAAATAATTACTAAAATTCTGTGGCACACCAAAAAACATGTATTTTTCTTGCCAATCTGACAAAAAAAAAGGGGGGGGGAGATTTTGACACATTCACACCTGATAGCTGTTGTAATTTTTTAATTTGATAATCTAAGGGAAAAGAGGTCAGTGCCCTGACTAAATATAATAGTAAGGTATTGCAGGTTTTAAAAATTCTTGCTGCACACCAGTTGAAAATCACTGACACAATGCTTTAGAATAGACTTCTACATAAAAATTCCATTGGGAGGTTTGTGATTTAAAATAATTTAAAAAATACGGCCCAAGCCAGTTTGGGTCAGTGGCTAGAACATGAGCTCCAGTAAAGGGAACTTGCCAACCAATCCATGTGTCTCTCTCACATCAATGACTCTCCCCCGCCCTCCCTTCCACTCTAAAAATCCATGGAAAAATAATCTCCGGTTAGGATTAACCAAAAAAAATCATGAATTTTCAGGGGCCCTCTTATTAAAGGTCCCTGAGGTATTTGAGGATAAGAGGCAGGGCTTACTCCCTGAGATTCCTCCCGGAGTGAGGAAGGGCAAGAGAGCGGGACTAAGAGGGAAGGGGATTTGTCTTCTGAAGTGCAGGTAGCTCAGGTCCAGACAGCCAATTACAATTCCCGTCGTGCCCAGGGCCTCCGGCGTGGCCCCGCCCCCTCAACCGGGTCCGCTGTCACTCCAGCGAGCGAGGGCGCGCATGCGCGCCGGCAGCGCCGTCCCCGGAGGCCGCAGAGGCGGGGCGGGGCTCCCGGCACTTGCGGGGCGGACGGTTCCACCCTTCGACCGCTCCCGGCTTCTCTTAGGACAGTTAACCTCGAATGAGGAACAAGCCGGGCGGGAAGGGAGGGCCTGCGGCGGCGCCTGCACAGCCCGCCGAACCGGGGGCCGGGAGCGGCGAGGTCACGTAACTGCCGTTGTGGCGTCCGGCCGGCCCCCCTCCTTGGCAGCCAGAGCCTCCCGGGCGCGCCGCGGCCCCGAAACAGTTACCGGCTCGTAAACAAGAGCTGCGCGCGCACCCGCCTCCGCTGGCGCCGGGACCCCACACCTGCGACCTCCGCGCGTCGCCGCCGCCCCCTCCTCACGGCCGGCCGGCACCCGCCTGCGGGGCTGTCTCCTCTTTTGCTGGGACTCCACCTGCGCCGGGGACCGGGTAGGGGAGAGAGCGTCTCCCAGCGAAGGGTCGGCTCGTCCTGTCACACGCAGGGGACACCTAGCGAGCGGACCTTGGGCTCGACGGACTAGCGACGACTTGACTTGCCACGACCCTGGGCTGCCATCGGGGTGTCGGTCCGCGTCGCCTCTCTCCCCAGATCGCGGGGACCCTTCTGCCAGCAGCGCGGGCGGGCCGCCCCCGCGCACCTCTCCGAGGCAGGAATCCCTCCTCTCTGCCCCTGCATCCTCCTCCGCTCGCCCTTCTCTCCTCATTCTCCACCGTCCTCGTGTGGGATATCTTTCCCGTTATGCATGCGCACCTCTCCCACCAGACACCACTGGATTATCGGCCTCACCAACCGCGGGTGGCTCTGCTGCACACGCCTCCTCCCAGCCAGACCTGTGCGGTATTCACCTGATACACAACAGGTGGCCGGGACCGTGTTTTTTGTGTTGTTGTTTTTTGTTTGTTTGTTTTTGCAATCTCTCTGCTGTATTTGCATCCTAAGGGTGGGCTTGTGTGCACTTACTTGGCTCCACTAAAACCGTGAGACATTTACCAGGTAAAAGAACCAACTACCTTGGCCGACACCTGGGGGTCGAAGGAAGGAAGGCTTCACCTGCTTCTCTCAGATCATGGCCCTGAGCCCGCAGCCCTGGATCAGGAGACGGAGCTAGCTAGCACCTCATTCCGGAGGAACGAAGTTACACGAGATTGACATCGTTTTGTCTTCTTTTTTTTTTTTTTTTACTCTTAAATATTTTTCAGCCACCGCTAGTGCACTTTCTAGGACAGTCTGCTCGAATTCTGAATATAACGATCCTTATCTGGGGCTCTGTGTAAATCAAGGCAATTGGTGTTTGTTTGTTTTTTTAAGTTATCTTTTCTATTTTTGCGATCAAAAGCAGCTAGCGTTTGGAGGAAGGATTTTTGCGGGGATTTCCTTGGTGCCCTTTTAAAGGAAAAGAAAAAGAAGGAGAAAAAAAAATGCATCCTCCAGAAACCACCACCAAGATGGCTTCAGTTCGGTTCATGGTGACACCAACGAAGATTGATGATATTCCAGGTCTGTCAGACACCAGCCCAGACCTCAGCTCCAGATCCAGTTCCCGAGTAAGATTTAGCTCCCGGGAGAGCATGCCTGAAACCACCCGTAGTGACCCTATGAGCGAGATGTCTGGAGCCACCACTTCACTGGCAACTCTGGCCCAGGATCCAGCCAGTGACCGGACTTCTAACCCCCAGGATGTTACAGAGGGTAAGTAGAAACCCAGATGACAGGATTCTTCCTTTATTGGTTTACTTGCCAAGGATGACTCTTCTGAGAGATCGGTTTTCTGTTACACATTACAGTAATCAGGAACCAAGGTACCTCTTTTTGAGGTGCTTAGGAGCCCTTTGTAATAATGGGTAGCATAGTGTGGTTCTATTGCAGTAGCAATTTGGCATGTGGAAGGTGTATGGCAAGAAGAAAAGTTAATGTATGTTTTGACTTCCACATTTTTGTCTCCTTAGCACTGAAATGGGTATCTCGGTTAAGGATGAAGAGCAAAGAATTTAATAGTTTTTCAGCACAGAGAATCCTAAATGCTAGCTTTGGGGCTCGATAACTTTTACAGCCTGCTTTTAAGGCCACTTTCAAGGAGTAGTTATTGATCATATACTAGTTATTGGTTTTTCTACAAAGACTTGAGATATGGAATCACAAAATTCTTTTTTTAAATTATAATTTACAGAAACAGTAGTTCCAGTGGCTAAGCTTACTCAGCTGAGGCTGAGTAGACCTAGTGTGCTATCCCTTGGATTAGAGAAATTTCTAAAGAGGTTTGTAGGGGCTGATTCCAACGTAATGTTTTCACCTTGAACTTTAAAGGGAATGTATTGAGCATTGAACCTTTGTAGTCAGGAAGTAGCACACAAGCCACTTCTGACTTAGATTGACCATTGAAGACTTTTAGCTTTCTGAAGCAATTTGTGTTGGCTAGCTTGGACCTTTTCATTGGATTTAGTGAGAAGAGGTGATGGGGAGAGAAATGAGTGAAAAGTTCATAACATTTTTTGGGAACTGCCGTACTGCTTCATATTTTTAGTTTTACATTCACTATATATTTAGTTCTGTATTCTAACTGTAGATAAGTCTGTTAGTGGAAATTTCTAGTAAGAATCTTAGGCTCTGAAAATGATATTCTACCCAAATTTGAAAGCCATAGCTTCAACCACTGACCTTTGAAAGTGAGGCTGACTTACCATTTTCTAGTGTCAGGACATTCTGTCCTCCTAACCCAAGGGGTGAGGAAACCAGAATAATTTTAGTTCCTTATTTCTGTTTGTATTTTTCAGTGTCTGTAGAGAAGGGAGATTTGGTAGTTTATAGTCCTATCTTCAACTCTAATGATTATCTTCAACTAATCATTTATTTAATGGAGCTATTACAGGCTGGTTTTTGGACTTAATTATTTTCAACTTGACAAACTTTACACTATTTACAAGCATTTAAAATGCATTATAAAATAAATAATTCCCTCTCTTTCAAATTAACTCTAAATTATAGTTATTTACATACTGTATTGAGGTTGTAAAAATACCAGATAAAGGCTATATCAGTGTTAATTTTTTTATTGCTGCAATTGTCATTAGGTAATTTGTAGTTAAATGTTTTTAGACTTGTGGCTTATATGTTATGGAATTACATTTGTATTTTGTTTTAAAAAGTAGGTTTGTTTCTGTAGTGTGTTAGCTTTTCAGAACAGGATTCTTGTCCAGCCCATTATCTTACTGTGAGCATTCTTTACAGTCCAGAGTGGTATCATTTTATACTATAAGAGGAAAACTTGGATTTCACCTATGTGTAGGTAAAATCTATGTTGTTTAGATGGATACAGAAGTTAAAGCTTGGCTCTATATCTAGCATATTTCTTCATGTTTAAATATTCTCTGGTATCAGATGAAAGGGAAATTAACTGTCCAGCCATTGGATCACACATTCCCCCATATTCTGAAGAAACTAGTTACCTGCTTTTTCTTTTTTAAATTTTTTCTTCTTATAATGACTTCATCCTGTGATATATTTTTCTCACCCTTGGAGGGGATTGGTTAGAAATATAATTATTTTACCTTTGACTTTCTAATCCCTTGTTAGACATAGGTCTTCAAAGAATGTTGTTGTCAAGAAAATCAAGGACATATATAAACTAAATTTGTCTCTGGGCTGGAGTTAGTATAGGAAAGCTACTTCCTTTTCTACAATTAATTCTATTTTTTATTAGTTTCAGCGAGTAAGGAGTGGAAGAGAGAGAGATAGAAACGTCAGTGATGAGAGGAAATCATTGATTCGCTGCCTCATGCACTGGGGATTGAGCCCAAATTGTGTTTGCCCTTGTGGGAATTGAACCTGGGATTCTTCAGTCCACAGTCTGATGCTCTATCCACTGAACCAACCGGCTAAGGCCAATTAACTCTACTTTTATGCTCATAGTGTATTTCAAAATTGTGTTTGCTATTTTAATATTTAGAATTTTGTTGTGCGTGTACATATATATATATATATATATATATATATATATATATATATATATATATATATTTCCCTTTCCACACATCCTTCTATGGTTGTAATATTGTTATGATTCTCAATCCTTTCCCCACAATCCTTAGGCCTCCCATGTTTCTTACTGTAGAGAAGTTTGCCATGCTAACTAAGTTTGTTTTCTTATTACATATCTTTTACTCACATTACATTGCACAACCAAGGCAGGAGTGATGCATGAAGTTTTAAATACTTAATTCTGTATTTTAATTTTTTCTACTGTTGGCCTTTTGAAAGTAGGTAATTATCTTTTTTGCTATCAAAGTATTTATTGTTCTTTTTTCATTGTGTCAGGGTTCATTAGAAGTTATGGGACTGTATAGCTGGTAAATAAAATCAAGACTCTTAGCACTGTATTTGCTTATGCCTAAAGAATGTCTTGCCGAAACCGGTTTGGCTCAGTGGATAGAGCATCGGCTTGTGAACTGAAAGGTCCCGGGTTCGATTCCAGTCAAGGGCATATACATTGGTTGCAGGCACATCCCCAGTAGGGGTTGTGCAGGAGGCAACTGGTTGATGTTTCTCTCTCATCTATGTTTCTGACTCTCTATCTCTCTCCCTTCTGCTCTGTAAAAAAATCAATAAAATATATATATATATATAAAAAATATATATATTTTATTGATTTCTTACAGAGGGAGAGAGATAGAGAGCTAGAAACGTCGGTGAGAGAGAAACATCGACCAGCTGCCTCTTGCACACCCCCTACTGGGGATGTGCCCGCAACCCAGGTACATGCCCTTGACTGGAATCGAACCCGGGACCTTTCAGTCCACAGACCGACGCTCTACCACTGAGCCAAACCGGCTTTGGCTAAAATATATATTTTTTAAAAGAATGTCTTAAAGATACAGAAGGAACTGTTGAGAATGGATATCTCAACAGACGTTAACAGACTAAAGGAATTTGAAAATAGAGTGGAGAGTGGGAATTTTTCTTTCAATTTAGAAGGATAAGTACAATTTTTTATATTAAAAGAGTGTATCACTTTTATAGTAAAATTTTAAAAGAGGCATAGCATGTTAGGTAATCTCAGGTAATGAAGAATTGAATTTGGGTCAAACCTCATTTTACTGAGTGAGGAAACTAAGGCTTACAGAGACAGTTAGTTATAATGTAGATCACAGAGTGGCAAAACCAAACCTGACATGCAGGCCTCCTGGCTTCTAGCCAGTGCTTTCCATTTACCTCATTTTGCTTCTGCTAGGATGAACATTTTATTACATTTGCTTCATGAGTATTTGATTATCTTAATTGATTGTCAAAAGAATAATACCAAAAGAGAGCAAGGAACATATTTTTATATGTCTCATACAGGCTGTAATATATTTCAACCTTTTATAATCAATAAAGGCTCTGATATGTGTGAGGCACTCTGGTAGGAATTATAGGAAATATTCAGGTAACATATTGTTTCTGCCTTTGGAGAGCTCATCTGTAATGGTGAAAATGACGAGAACACCATCCATTCCTTCATCAAATATCTGCTGAGCACTTATGGGTCAGGCCGTGTTCTGGGTGTTTAAGGATACAGGACTGATAAAAAGAATTTAATAACTATTCTAAGGAAAACTATGATCTAATAGAGAAAGGAAACACATTTTCATATAAATTATAATGCTGTATGATAAATGCAACAATAGAAATACACATCAAAACACAAAAAATAGAAAAAATACAGCAAATTTTAGAATAATACACAGTAAAAAATACAGCAAAGGAAAGTGATGAACTGAGGTGAAATGGAGACCTAACAGACTGGAGGAATTGATGAGGTAAAGTGGTTGTGAAAGATGTGGAAGGATCAGACTGTGGTCAGACAGTTGAATGTTGGAGTTAATGGTTTCAGAGGAGGGGCAGTTCCAGTGTTAACATGATAAATTGTACAGCCTTGGAAGTAGGTTTCTGAAGTGGAGTAGACTTAAAAGCCAGTTGAGTCAAAGAACTCCATGTATTCCAACTGAGACTGGCTGTTACCAAGTTTTTATGGAGCAGCATTAGGTGGCAGAGATGCAAAATAATTAAGGTAGGTCCCTCCCTCAAGAGTCACTCTCTCTGAAACCTTTTCAGATTCATCCTTATACCCAGATAGAATAGAACTAATCTATTTCTTTAAGTCCCTATATCCCTTATACTATACTTATTATTATTATACTAGAGGGCAGGGCACAGACAAGTGCATGGGAAGGGGAATGGTCCCTCAGCCTGGCCTGTGCCCTCTTGCAATTCGGGACAGCAGTGCACCAAGCACCAGGCAACCAGGGAGGAGCCCAAGCTGGCGCTGAGCCGATCGATCGGCCTGCTGTGCCTGCCGCCGCTGCTCTGTAGCACTGCCACAGAGTCCGGAGAGGCTCCTACTGCCGCAGCTGTGCTCACCAGCTGTGAGCCCTGCTTCTGGCTGAGCGGCACTTCCCCTGTGGGAGTGCACTGACCACCAGGGGGTAGCTCCTGCATTGAGTGCCTGCCCCCTTGTGGTCAGTGAGCATCATAGCGACTGGTGGACCAATCATTCTGGTTGTTTGGTCATAACGGTCGTTGCTTAAGCTTTTATATATATAGATAGCAGCACCTATTTCACTTAATTTTGTTTTGTTTACATGTTATTTTTCTCAATTAGGCTGACAGTTTTCTTAAGGACAGAGACAAAAATTGTTTTGGTGTCTTCAGCACCT